CGCCGGGACCCGGGCAAACGGTGGAAAGGGAGCGGGAAGGAAAATCGGGCTAGGCTCGTTCTTAGAATTCTACGATCGAGATAATATCGAGTATTCGGGGCGTGGATTTCCCGGGAGTAAGGAGAGCGTTGAGCGCTAAAAGGTACACGCCGATCGGTCCGTAGATTCGACGTCTCCTCCCTCGGGAATCCGGGAAATCTGGCCGAGCGAGGCGGCCAGAAGGACGGAAGAGGATGGAAGAGGAGGAGGCGGAAAGAGGCAGGAGTGAGTCTCGAGTCTAGGAAGGAAGGAAGGAAGGAAGGAAGGAAGGATAGAGGGAAATGGGAGAAGATGGAACAATGGGGCGGGACAGGGAGAGGGATAGAGATGGGAAAGGAGAAGAAAAAGGGATGATTAACCCGTTCGAGAGCGATCGCACATCTGGCGTGTAATGTTCCTGTTCCTAGAAAAGATCAATCGCATACCTTGTGTGCAATGACCGTGAATTCATATCACGAGTCATTACGAAAGAAATAATATCGTGGAAACAAGATCGTAAAAAAAAGAGAAGGAAGTGTTATAGAATTTAAAGTTCACTGAAATTTTATTTCTGACAAAGTTACAATGTTTCATGGTTGCTATTTATTTTCTCTTACACGCATTTCATACGTTTTTGTAAACAGGCACGCGCAATTACGCGTATAATTAAATATTATTCGTTCAATTAAATCCATACATTTTATTTATATTCAATATAAATTTTTTTCTCAATCAACAAGAAGAATGTTGGGGAGATTGATTTTCGAAAAATTAGTATTAAGAAGATGAAAAAAGGAGAGGAGAAAGAAAAGAAAAAAAATTATATTAACGTGATGGAATCTTTCCTTTTTTTTTTTTTTTTCCAAAAAAACCCCGGCCATTGTACTCGAAAAAAGTACGATATCCTACGTCGTCCAGACATCATCCTCGGAAGGAGGACAAGCCATTCAACCCATTCATCCTGGGCGATGGTTACGCCCATGGTGGAGGAAAGTTAAGAGAAAGGATGATCAAGGGGAACAAAGGACAAGCGGATAGCCATCCGTGAAGAGGGAAGGGATCCGGGGTCGGAAAAACAAAGCGAAAAGAGCGGGCGGAAGGAAAGGGGGGAGCGGTTAAGAGGAGGAGGAGGAGGAGGAGGAGGAGGAG